AGCTGTGCCAGGGGAGGGTCAGGTTGGACATCAGGAGGAATTTCTCCCTGGAAAGGGTTGTCAGGCACTGGCAGGGGCTGCCCAGGGAGGTTTGGAGTCCCCACCCCTGGAGGTGCCCAAGGAAGGCCTGGCTGTGGCACTGAGTGCTCTGGGCTGGGGGACAAGGTGGGGATGGGGCACAGGGTGGGCTCGATGCTTGGAGGTCTTTTCCAACCTAAACAATTGGGTGATGTCCCCAAAGCCTGGCTCCAACCCATGTGCCAGCAGGACCTGCCACGCAGCAGTTCTGCTGCAGTCCTGTGTGAGCTGAGCCACCACAGCTTCATGAGTGCCCAAACCCGGATACTTGTGGTCTCTCGTGGCGAGGAAGCCTGAAGGGGTTTCTCTGGCTGAGTCAGCAGCAACTCTGCAAAGATGCATCTTTTCAAAGCCCTTGTTTTTATTAACCAACTGCCCAGCTTTGAGTGCATCTTTTAGTAGCATTTCTTGTTTTCCAACACGTCCCCAAGTGCCAGGTCCCTCCCAGTCGGGGATGTGTGTGAGGGGGATGGGGGTGGTTACTGGTAATTGTGGCATTTAGCAGGTTCCCAGTAAGTTAAGGCAGCGTTTCTTGGTGTTGATGGCACACAGGAGGACTTCTGGGTGTGTTATCCCAGAGGGAATTTTTGAGGGAATCTGGAGCACCTACTCCAGTCCTTAGAACCATTTACTTTCTTCTTTGTCTTAGTCTTGATGCCCTTTGACACCAAGCTGGGGAGAGCAGCCAGGGCACAGTTTGTACTGGACATGTGCAGTTTGAGTTTGGGCTTGGTCTCAGCTGGGCAGAAAACACCACAGGGAGCAGGTTATACTGATGTGGGAAACACTGTTTGTTGGTACCATCCTGGAGTTATCGCCAGCCTGGAAAAACTGCATATTTTTCCCGAAAAGCCACATGTTGTAACTAATTTACGGTTTGTTCTTCCTTAGGTTTGTAATAAAATCATTTTTCTGATGAGTTTTGTGGGTAACTGTGGGACCTTCACTCGAGGATACAAGGCTATGATCATGGATGTGGAGTTCCTCTATCACCTGCTGTACCTGCTGATCTGTGCCCTGGGGCTCTTCGTGCACGAGTTCTTTTACAGCCTCCTGGTAGGTGTTCACTTGGCCCTGGGAATGTTTTCCTGTCTGTGTGTTTGTGAAGTCCCATCTCTGGCACATCCAGATATGTCACATAAAAACTTTCTGCTTTGCTGCTGGGAAGCTGCTGTGCAGGCACTGGGAAGAGCCATACATGGGAGGTTTTCCTTGGGAGAAGTTATGGTGGGAGACTCTGGGATTCCTGCCACATTCCTTCTTCCTGGTGTGTGACTTTTTGCAGGAACACATACTGACAGGACAAGGGGGATGGTTTTAAACTAAGAGAGGAGAGATTGAGCTTAGATATATTGAAGAAATTCCTCCCTGTGACAGTGGTGAGGCCCTGGCACAGGTTATCCAGAGAAGCTGTGGCTGCCCCATCCCTGGAAGTGTCCAAG